AAAAAAAAAAAAAATACTTTTTCTGATCACTGTCCACATAATGATAGAAAAGGCACAAAGCCCAAGAAATTGGGAAAATGTACAGGGACTAATAATCTAACTCAGCTAATGTGTAGGGTTCATGCAAAAGTATTTATATTTAATTTAGTATCATCTGCATTGTCCTAGAGAGAGGAGACCTGGGCTGACTTATAGCTAAGCTGTTTTACTTCCTATTCTCAACCCCCAATAACAATTACTTTCACATTTCCTTTACTCATCTCTTCCTCACATCCAAAACACACAATCACACTCCTCAACTCCAGGATCATGCCCTAGACCAAAAGTCGAAGGGAATCTTAAGCATAGGATGAGTAAAAAGTTGGAGTAGAGGGTCTCTAAAGCTCTTCTCACTTTTCAGTTGCTCTTGAGCAGAAACTTCCATCACTACCTCCTCATCTATACAGCCTGCAAATTTAGATTGTTATTTAGGTATGGATTTAAAATAAAATCTAATAATAGCAAGAAAGTTGAATGCTCCATAATGTGTTCCATGAATAGAAACTTGAAGCCAGAAGGTACCTTTAAGGCCTTCTAATCCAAGCCCTTTATTTTACAGATGAGGAAACTGAAGCCCAGAGAGGTGAAGTGAGGTGCCCAAGGCCACACAGCAAATTAGAGGCACAGCTAGTACCATAGCTCAAGTCTCCTGACTCCCAGTCCAGTGCTCCTCCCATTACTCCACGGGTCCTGTCTCTAAGCTTCCTGACAAATGCTAGAACGGTAAACCTCCACTAGTATTTTTCCAGACCATGTTAAAACTCCTCTAAGGGGGGTAGGGGGGAGGATGCTTTCTTGGATAATGTCAGCCATACGTAGCTCAAGCTGTCTAAAGTTCTGGGACAGGGTCTTTTTATGCAGCCAACAGAGTCCAAATGTGGTGCTGTTTGCTTGGCCCATATGCTTTCATGTGTTCCCAGTTAGGCCATTACTGGAGGGAAAAAAACAAGAATCAGCTTGTTTTAAAACAAGGGACATACTGGACTCCCTCCCATCCCCCTTCAGGAAAAAAAAAATCAAGTTATCTTTAACAGATTCTAAAAATGCCTTTTCCCAAATATGCAGTCAGTTCCTTCAAAGGGCCCTTTGTTTATTTTCAGGAAGAAACCCAAGACAGCTGAAAACCAGAAGGCATCTGAGGAGAATGAGATTACTCAGCCGGGTGGATCCAGCGCCAAGCCGGGCCTTCCCTGCCTGAACTTTGAAGCTGTTTTGTCTCCAGACCCAGCCCTCATCCACTCAACACATTCACTGACAAACTCTCACGCTCACACCGGGTCATCTGATTGTGAGTACACCACTAAGGTGATGGTGTCTCCACAATGCTTGGAGTGGTGATTCTCCCCTGGGTTCGGGCTGTTTTGCATTTAGAGCAAGCCATTTGCATTTAGTCTTCTGAAGTAGCAGGTACTGTGCCACCATTTTGATTCAGCCAACATCTATATATCTTCAAAGCTGGAGTGTATCTCAAAGCCAGGTGACCAGATGTTTGACCTTAAAAGGCTGATTAATTGCCTAAATCACATCTCTCTTAGCATTAAACTCAGAGAAAGAAGCTGTGTTGCTGCTTTCTAGTTATTCTTGATCTGTATAATGGCATTTCCACCATTACCAATTTGAACATCCAAATATGGACCTCTGAAGGCCAGTTAGACACCAGGAAACATCCATTTTGAAATTACATAACACAAGTCAGATTTGCATTGTTATTGGAGTCTCATGTCGCTTGGCTGAATTTCTGTCTTTCCAGTTTTTAATTTATTTTGAAGTGGTTAAAGGATAGCATAAATTTACAGAAGAAAAGAGAATGGCTTCCAAGAATTCAGAAGCCACCCAGACTTCACATAGCCAATAGGAATTCAGGTTAAAAATATTTTTTAATTAAAAAAACTGCCTAAGGGCTAAATTTGGAAATGGGCAGCTTAATGAGATCGTAGCTATTGAAATCACTTCTTTGCTGTTTATTTTTGCCATCTTCCCACTAATCTGGGAGTCACTTCTTCAAATTCTATTTTAAGAAAGTTGATAAATCACGTTTAGGAGACTTTTTTTCTCTTTCTGAAATGTAACCCCCTACTTCAGAGAGAAAGAAACATGTGTGTTGACAATGGAAAGGAATGAAATAGCTTTGGAGCTGAATCCAAAAGAATATTCCTTTTAGTCTTAAGATACCCAACAACTCTTCTGAACTGATCTCCATAAAGGATGTCTGGTAACAAGCAAAGAACTGGCATGTTCTCCTTTAAAAATGAATAATATAAAAACCAAGAAAGTTTTATTTCAAAGATAAAATTCTGTCTGCAAATATAATATTAATTAGGAAATGAGATTCTAAATCTCCTATTGTTATTTTTTCTGGGAGAACAAATGTAAAATTCTGCAAGAGGGTGAGAGTTGCATGGGTCTGGGAAACTCCATTCCCTACTCCTTTCATCATCATAATCTCTAGATAAGGGAAAAGACCTAGAGGCAAGTTTGGGGTATAGAGAACTTGTTCTACTTATGGTTGGCCTGAGACCACACTCCAGCTGTCACTAGAAAATGAAAAGAGAAGTAATGTGATCCAAGTCTCCATGGCCCATGTGATTTCTGCAAAGTTGTAGCTTCTATAAGAGAAACGTAGAAGGAAGTCAGAAGCAGAGACTCTGTTCTGTGGACCGTTGTCATAACGGCATCCTTGGACCTTCTTGCCTGGCAGTCTCCATCCTAATAGTAATTACAGGAAGAATTGGAAGATAGTGTGGCACAGTGCCCATGGACATGTGCACGCTTACCAGGAAGGTAGCCCGTTCCTGTGGTGAAGGGCCTGGAGCTTCTGCGTGCAGACCTTCATTGCCTGGCTTTCTGCCACACCTTATGGGCGTGGATTGCATAGAATGGCCTTAGCCCAGAAATCTGTTACAGCAAAATGAATGTTTTGCAGAATAGAAAAAGCACTGGGCTTCATTTATTGTACCTTACCGGGCATTAGCATGAAATATGTTTAAGGCATAGTATCGTGCTGCCATACAGCTTCTTGGTGACCCCAAGGAAGCCAGAGGATTTGAGCTCAGTAGGGCGTCTGAATGCACTTGGAAGGAGAACAAATTGGGAGGAGAACCTAATCTCCAGCTGTTTAGAAAGTCATTTCGATTTTGCCATTAAGATGTGTAAGTCTTCTCTGCTCTAACCTGTTGTTTAAATTGATGATACTTTTCCCCAAACATATTTGGAGTGTAGTTTGTCCTGATTTGAGCCTACACTTAGAGGAAAATTGTTTTTAGGAAAGATTCACAGAAATCTGTCCATTTGGAGATTGCTTGAGGGAAGACAGGAAAAAGGTTTTATTTTAAGCTGTTAAAATTTTTGGATGCTCTTCTTGCATTCAAGAGGATTTTTTTTTTTTTTTACTTTCAAATGTCATTCTTACCATAGATTAATTTAAAAGCCTAATTTCTTTAAGGTAAAATATTCAGTTCCTATTTAGAACTAACAGATTTGGGGCATTTAAAAATAGTGCCCTTGACTTGTTAGTCTCTTTAACTTCAGAAACATTCCACCAGTATGTGGTGTTCCAAGCTTTCACAAGTGCCTGAATTTTTATAGCACCTTTTTATTTGTCATGTGTTTAGCAAAATTATTCTTAGTCATGCCTTAATGCCCATTTCCTGTCAATCAATGTGATTCTTCCCAATTTACAGATGAGAAAACTGAAAAAACTGATACACAGATGAATGACTTCCTCGTGGTTAACTCATTTGGGTCCTGAGGGGTGTTCATGGATTTTCTCTCATTGTGAGAGCATTTCTCATGGGAAATCTCTACTCCAAGCCCAAAAATGGCATTCCTGGCTCTAAACAGGCATATAGAAAATGTACTACTACTTATATTGGTGACGGGGTTACATGACAGATAAAACATCCTCACAAAAGAGAAGTCAGCTCTGCCTGTGAACTGGCAAGGGTGGGTAAACCGCGGTGTATTTGCATATGGAGAGCACACGTTATGTTTTAGAGTGCAAAGATGACAAGGCTGACCCCTTAAATTCTCACTTGGCTGTTAACTTGCTGAGCCACATCAAATCTGGCAGAAGATCCCAGGGCTATTCAAGACAAGAAGGAAGACGGTGGCGATTTGCTTCCCTTTGTGAGATCACAGTGAGGTTGCTCTGGCTGCCTCGCAGTGCACCACTGGCACGGTTTCCTTTCAGCAATATTCCCCCATCACCTCCAGCCCGGCACCCCTTCACCATTTCTGAAAATCTAATGGTAAACTAATTCAGAGGAGGATAAGGGAAGGCAATAAGATGAATGTGGGGACGCAAAGGGTAGAAAGTCCCTCAGCGTTTGACGAGAGCAGTTACCCACTGAACAGGCTGAGTATGAGCTGAGCCAAGCTCTCCCTTTAAATGCTGAAATGGGACTGAACCAAGTCAGTAGAGCAGACGAAGCTCTCCATATGAAAAACCTTTCTTGACAGCTATCAAGCTGTACCACATCACAGTCATATACATGTGATAGACACGACCAGAACTTGTACTTGCATATTTCTTCCATTTTGTTTCCCCCCCAGATAAGTCTCCCATTGAAGGGAGAAGTGATTCTCCTTCCTTGGCGGTCCTCCCCACTTCTGGCTGTAGATTCACCTATGCCGACGTCTTCTCTTGTGTTGGAAGCTGAAATTGTGGTTACTCACCTTCCCGTGTTTTGCCCTGACCTTATCAGTCTGTCTCGGTTTTTGTGTCCTCGCCAGGATGCACTTATGCATTAACAGTTTTTATTTATTTTTAATTTAACCTTTACACATTACCAAACTGTTGTGTGGGTGGGTTTAACTTTAGCTCAGAAGGCAGTGTGATTCTGCCAGGGCTGCGCGCTGTCGAGGAGTCTGGTGGGCTCCTCCTTTTCTACCTCTTGTCATCTACCTTCCTCAGCCTTCTCCCTCCCAACCGGTTGCTTCACCCGTCCAAGCCCCTGTGATTCAAATTTTTAGTACACTTGGCTCACTTTGAACTTTTAAGCAATTTTTTAGAGAATGAAACAAAGAGGATTTTTATGGCAAACTCCATTAATGCCACATTAAGGCTGACATTTTAATTACCCCAAAGTCAGGAAATGCAAAGTTCAGGTTCCCACAGCAACAGAAACTGTCCCCTTGAGTGCCAGCATCACAGCAAATTCTTTCATACCCTGATTACACAACACTGGGCATGGGGGACATTGTTTTTGTCCACATACGTGGAAAGGAACACAGCTTTTATCCTTTGTTTCTTTCCTGTAACTACAGTTGAGGCCATGGGTCCTTAGCTTCCCTCCCCAAACCATCTATATGTATTATCCTGGAATGGAAGACTGTTATAGTTCTACATGTGCACACGGACAGAATTAAAGTTGCTGTGGGAACATTAACTCTGATTTCCGGACTTCCGTGCCAGTCACATTTAAACCATAATGTTGTAATTTTTGGCATGTAATAAATGTGCATTTCATGTACACAGACAGAAAGAAGCATAAAATGTATTTTAAAGAGCAATTAATTACTAACTTTGTGATTAAAAAACATTTGGTGCATGTTCCTTCCCATTTAGCATCAGCTGCTGGTCTTAGCCAGGCCTAATAGATGACATACTGTGTCTCATCCTGTATCTCAGATGTACTTACTGTATGTTCCTGTTCTTCCAGATAATTAATTCCCTTAGTAAAGCTGTAGGGGGAAAACAAAATGGAAGGAATATGCAAGCATGTAAATAGGGTGAAGGATATTTTGAAGGAAATGATTCATTTCTGCAAATAAACCTCTTAGTCCCTGATAAAGAGCCAGAAATCTGCTAAGTGGGTGTAGACAAAGGTTTCTGGCCACCTTAGAGCATCTGGTTCGGGGCCATAAGAACAACTTGAAAGCAGATTTCCTCATGAATTCCAGGCATGCCCACTGGGGGAGTGATTTTACTCTGTAGAAACTTTTTAGGCTTAAGACTTCAAAAGTGATTTCGCTCCATATAATAACCTTTTAGTTATACTGTATTCAAACTAGAAAGTCAAAGTGGTAGGAAATGAGGTGACTTGAGGGCTTTGCCAGAGAACCCCCTGACTTAGAAAGTAATGTTTTTTCTTCCCTTACATTTGAATCTGGTGACCCATTTGTGTGAGAGGAGAAAGTGTTTCGAACTAACTGAACAGGTGTGAGAGTGAAAGGAATTAGTAGCAATGTTCTATGGGACAGTATTTTAAAATGCAAATGCTTGAGTTTGCATTTGAAACCAGGTGAGCTAGAAATTGTACTGAAAGGCTATCTTCCTTAACCCTGAGG